CAGGGCAGAGAATCGCTTTTTAATTTGTTTTTGCAAATCCCGCCAGATAACTTTCATGGCAGGATCGCGTGTTCTTTGAAATTGTCTCCTACGGACATTTTTAAGACGGATCAAGAGCTGAAGATCATCGTCTATTATAATTGAATCGAATTTAACCTCGCATTTTGGTACTGAGGCAGCTCTTGCTTCAACTATAGAAGTAGTCAGAGATTCAAGAGCATAATTAATTTCATCTTTGGTTTGCAAAGGAATGTTTGGATCGAAGTTATATTCCATAAATGTTCGATATTGCTCCCAATCAGCCCTATGGTAATTGAAAGTAAAGCTGTTGGGATTAGAAATTATTTCTTGGGATATTTCAAAAGTTACTGGAAGATGATCAGAACCGAAGTCAGCATGGGTAACCAATTGGCTACAAAGATGACATGAATCAGTTAAGACCAAATCAATAGTTGAGGGATTTCTTGCAGAAGAAAAGCATGTTGGGCTGTTTGGATATTGAATAGTGTAATAACCTGCAGAACAATCATCAAACAGAATATTACCATTGGAATTGCTTTGAGCATTATTCCATGAGCGGTGTTTTGCATTAAAATCACCAATAATGAAGAATTTAGACCTATGACGGGTAAGTTTCTGGAGGTCACCCTTGAGAAAATTCTTTTGCTGGCCTACGCATTGGAATGGCAAATAGGCAGCTATAAACGTAAGTTGTCCAAATTTTGTTTCAACAGAAACTCCCAAAGTTTCAAAAACTTTGGTTTCAAATGAAGAAAGAATTTTATGCTTGATTCGTCTATGAATAATGATGGCAACGCCACCACAGGGTCCATCAAGACGATCATTTCTATAAATCAAGTAATTTGCGTCCTTTTTAACCTTATGGTCAGGTTTAAGGAACGTTTCAGTTATAACGGCAATATGCACGTTATGAACTCTCAAAAAATTAAATAGCTCGTCTTCATTATCTTTAAGAGATCGAGCATTCCAATTTAAAATGTTTAATGCTTTAAAATCCATTACTGAATTTTAAAGTCATGACAATATTATTAGCAAATTTTACTCCAGTTTGAATAGCATCAAACATGGAGTTAGATTTAAGCATATCAGAAATCATGTCAATTAATGAATTCTGTAAAAATTCCATTTTAGGGGCAGTAATGCTTCCTAAGTCAAAATTGTCAAAATTTCCGTTAGAACGTTGGTTAGTATTTTGATTTCTACCCGCTGCAATAGCAGCATAGGTAGCTCCATTAACTCGCTGAACATTGTTAGCAGCGAGGGGAGTAGGTACAGATGAAACATTTGAAGCAGGGGTGATATTTGTACCTACGGGTACGAATGTAGAATTTGTTCCTCGCTGACCGTTGTTAACAGCAGAGGAATTTGTACCTGGTCGGAAACGTGGAGCGTTTCCTACCTGTCGGTTAGAACGAGATTGTAGGATCGCTTTGCGAGTCTTACATTCCCAAAAATTGGATTTGTGGTTTTCACCACAATTTGAACATTTAAATTTCTTAGGATCTTCCTTCACAGGACAGCCGTCCTTTGCGTGAGAGGAATCACCACAATTCATGCATTTAGCTGGCATGTAGCAATTTTTAGTTCCGTGACCCCATCCCTGGCACTTACGGCACTGAGTGAGGTTTTGGAAATTTCCTCCAGTCTTCCTGAAGTGTTCCCACTTCACTCGGACATGGAGCATAAGGCTAGCTTTTTCTAAGGCCTTAAGGTTGTTTAGTTCACTAGACTTGAAGTGAACTAAATAAAAATCATTAGAAATCCCGTTGCGCGAATCGCCAGGACGGGATTTCATTTTCATTTTGATTACTTGGAGTGGCACAACTCCAAGTAATTTTACCAGTTCATCTTTGATCTGATCCAGGGATTCACCACTGGGCAGTCCTTTCATGACAACCTTGAACACACGTTCAGTTTTGGTGTCGTAAGTAAAAAATTTGTGCTTCTTCTCAGTAAGATACTTGAGAAGACATTTAAATCCGTCCAAGGTTTCAGCCAATACACGGCATTCACCCCGACGTCCAATTTGTAGTGAAAACTTAACTTTCACGAAATTCAAAAGTTCCATGCGAAGAGCATGGAAATCGGTAGTGGTTATCACAATAGGGGGAATCTTTTCCTTCTTGGCATTAAGCCGGGAAAGTTTACTAGAATTTTTCTTGGATGATGGATCATTTTCATCATCCGTGAGCAAATCAAATTGATTACTCAAATTAATTTCATCAGAAGGGGGGTCAAGAGTTTGCCCCTTTCTTTTGCGTTTAGGCGCCATGGCGGCAGTAAATTTTTTATTCAAATCGACTTCCAAGCAGATTACTATAAGAATCTGAAGGATCGAAGAGGAATTTTCCAAATCGATATCCAAGAAGGATTACCTCGGGTAGGGTCCAAACAAGGATCGAAGAGGAATAAGAGGAGTTGAACAAGGTAGAAAATTTTTACAGGTTGAGCACTGAAAAGTGCGATTATGCGATTATCCAAATCGACTTCCAAGCAGATTACTATAAGAATCTGAAGGATCGAAGAGGAATTTTCCAAATCGATATCCAAGAAGGATTACCTCGGGTAGGGTCCAAACAAGGATCGAAGAGGAATAAGAGGAGTTGAACAAGGTAGAAAATTTTTACAGGTTGAGCACTGAAAAGTGCTGTTTAAATTTGTTGTAGCTTTAGGTAGTAGTAACACTTCCTTAAGCAAAAAGCAAATAGATCCGCACGGCAAGAGAGCACGATGCGGACTGTAAGTTGAAGTTTATAGTTACCTAGCCCATATACCGTGTAAATATGTAAATTTCTGCGATATATAGCGCATGCTGTAAATTTACACGATATTTCATGTAACATTAAACGCTGTCCAGACTGGAGAGTTATAACATGTTATAACGGTTGTCAAATAATTGCAACACAGAAACCACCATCAAGATAGCGCTATAACATGTTATAACTCTGTAGTCTGAACGTACTATTAGGCGCAATATCGAATAAATCAGCCATGTTGTATGCAAGGTTGTAAACAATCTCGGTGTTTATGCGATTAACATTAAAGAAGTGGAGATATTACGCTACAGATATTACGCTACAGATAAAATTCAGATTTTTTTTTCTGTGTAGCAATCAACGTTTTCCTGTAGAAAATGATTTAGCATAGGTTTCCCGCGAAACAAGTGAAAACTTGCATGTATATTTTGGTGCAAGTCAGTTAGCTCATATTTATATAATTTTAATAGATCAATTTAGTAACATACTATTTTCAAAGAATTTACTCTGGAGACCTTGCAGAAGCCATAAAAAATTTGACTGAAATATTTTTTTTAGCTTTTTGGATGAGTTTTTTCCGTTTAATGTTGAATTTGAGTCAAAAAGTCATTTGTGGTAGGGGGATGGGGGCAAGAAGACCATGCGGGGCGAGTTGGGCCACCGTTCGTTTGGGCATAATACCTATTAACTCAATCTATTTTTTTTATAAACTTTATAAATAAAAAAAAATAAACTTTTGAAAATGTTTCTAATATGCATCTCCATGAAAACCGTAGCAAAATTCAATTACATGTCTAAGATAATAATGGAATTGTAACATTAACTTAAAATTTCTAGAATATTATGAGATATGCAGTTAAAAAACAAGCATTGCATTCACTATATTACATTTTACTGAACCGCTGGTTCTACTGCGAGCAATACACGTAACTGTTGCTAAAAGAACTTATGTTTCTATTTCACATGATTCCTGAATGTTACACACTTAGAAACAATCATATAAATTTAGGTCCTCCGAGACTGACATATACGAGCGTCAATTTTGTCATAAATTTGAGTCATAAAAAACGCTCAATTCAACTCAATCAAACGTAGTTTTCGTCGAGTAACGAACTTTTTAGTTTCGGAGCACTTAATTTTACATGAAATAATTGTTTACGTCTGATCCTTTATGTCAAAGATGGATTCCGTCACGTGTAAAATTAGTTATTTCTAAGTGTGTATTTTCTAGTGAAAACCTGTCAAAACGTTAACTTTAGGGTGCTTATATTGCCCGGTATGGTTGTTGATCGGAGTAAAAAACTGAAATTTTTCAAACATAATAATTTATTGAGTCTATCATATTTTATCCATATTTTGAACATTGTATATTATCAAACATATTCCAAAGCATGAGCATGATCACAGCTATCATACATTTATGAATGTTTTTCATGTGTTATGATGTGCTTTTCTTAGGGGACCATATTGCCCCTTTCTACCCTATATAGGAAGTGATATCGCCACAAACAACAGCAGTAACATCTGGTGGAAAATTAATGCAACAGCTTGTCTAAATGGTTAATAATTATTTTGAATAAAATGTTAAACAATAAAAGCATTGAAAATGTACTGCCCATAAAAACATAACTAACCCATATGAATAGAAAATTATGTAGAAATGGAACATTTATGCGTTTATGAGCAGAGTACATCGTTGATATTATATATTATATTTCACTTCAGCACTATTCACACAATTGAAAATTTCTTACATCCAATTCTTAAAATATGGCTCAAAAAGCCTCTACATGCGTCACTACCAAGAGATCGTCAGTTGCAATCACCCCACATGATGAAGTGGGCATACCAAATCTTACAGAGCTAATAAAATGTGACAGGCCTCTTTCGGACGCGCCCCTGAGGCTAAAGGTAAACTTTCCTCTTAGTCCCTCTTTCTCAACTGAGGAATTGTTGAATAAACCGACAAGCGGACATTTCTTAATTTGGACCTCCATTCCTTTTGGAATTGTGACTGCCAGCCAGTCATTATATGTCCAAACGAAAATAAATCACGACTTTTCATTCGACAAATCACCTGACCCCGAGCTTAAACTGACCAACCGGACCATGATCGGTATCATTACAAGACGTGACGGAGCTACTTTTAATGAGTGTTTTACCGCAGTTCTTATTCTATGAAAGCAGGATTTCTCTGGTCACAAAACACGATTCCAAACTTACCGACTGCTCCCCAGTCCGGGTGGGCTAAATTATTGTACCAGCCATCATACCGCTGCTTCTCCACATGACTCATCAGTCGATCTGCGAAAGAAAAAAAATAGACACACATAACGATCGTTAGAAAGATTAGACAAAACTAATGGCATATGGTGACTTGAAATGAGGTGTCGAAAGATGATTTCCATAAGGACACTAGTGGCCTCGCATGCGAGAACAAAAAATTGCTCGTTATTCAGATCGTGTATGAAAGATCGCCCCAAAAACGGTCGAACTTAAAATAGATTGACCCTCCTCGGGTTCAGTTCAGATCGAGTGATAACTGAATGGCAAGGTTGCTGTTAAACAAATTTCGCGATCATTAATCATGGGCGCATAAAAAGCTTTATTTGTTTCACTTGGAGCTACTTCTACTGTTAAAACCACCAACAGGTGGGTACTAATTTTTATTTCAGCTAACCGTCATCCATTACCGTAAGCCCTGAACGTAGTAGCAGACTTTCAGAAAATTAGGATAAATTGATTCAAAGCTAAGATAATTCCCCAAGAGCAATGAATGGATGGCGAAGGCTGTAAAAAAATAAGGAATCAGAATCCGGATTTTACGATTCTACAATGTTGATGGAGTCATAAATAACTGTTCATAACAGCAGTGTCTGGTGCAATATTTTTACGGATATTACTTGAATAATATGTTTGCCAGGAAAAAGTCCTATACTTATTAAGGGGATTTTTTACGCTTTACGAGTTTGCTTTATGACTTTATTATGAGCTGCTAGTAAAAAAACTGAAGCGTCAAAACAGGTAATTGATTCGATGAGCTTTCGTTTTCAACCAGCAAAATGTAAACATCAATAACAAAATTGAATGAATTGAAAGTGAGCTCCTGTTGCAATGAAAAGGTTATTTTTAATTTAGTAACATCAGCTCTAATAGCATCTAAATAAGTGTATTGTCTTCACTACTAAAAGGTATATGCAATCAACTGCCGTTGAATATAGCGTTTCTTGTTTTTCCCCGTAGGGTGTTAGTATCGGTTAAGAGTGTGATTATAAGTGCGGAAGTGCTAATAAAAGAGCATTTTTGCATTAAATTGATAAGATGCCTCATAGCCTAGTCAGTAAAGGCACGGTATTACCAAACCGGAGGCGGGTTCGAATCTCGGTCCGGTCGGGTTGGAAATTTTCTCGACTCGTATCATTGTGCTTGCCACAAATTCATGGCATCAAAAGCACTCAATTAATAACTGTGGAAATGCATTTAGAACACAATAAGCAGCTAGATATGCGAAAAAGAAGAATGATTAGGTGAATGAAATATTTTGAAGTAATGAAATTAGGTTGTAAGCAGAATTCTTAAATAAAACAGCAAAAAGGTTAACTTCCACAAAGCCGGCGCCGGTGGTGTAGTTGTAAGCGTGACTGCTTTCTAACACCCCAATGGGTCTGGGTTCAATCCCAGCCGAGGTCGGTGGGATTTTTCTGAGGCATAAAAATCTCTGGTCACGTCTTCCTTCGGAAGGGAAGTAAAGCCGTTGGTCCCGGCCCATGTGTGTTGAATGGGTGCGATATCCTACGCAGGTGTGGAAGCTGCCTTCCTGCAAATTCGATTGCCGTCAATGGATGGCAAACGATGTCCGTCGGTGATTGGCACTAGATTGCGGAACAGAGACCGACGTTAAATAAAGGAGAGAAGTTAACTTCCATTTAATTCCACTTTATTAATGTTCGTATCCATGACAGATACGTATTTCGACTACAATGTGCAGTCTTCATCAGTGTCATTCCCACTAAATAACTTATCAAAATCTAACCCTATTAAATACTAATTTCACAGGTATACAAATGAAACTACAATGTGTAGAATCGGAACCTACCCAAATAAAAACCAAAAATTTAAGTAAACTAAACGAGAAAAATCTATACAGCTCTCTAATAAGGAATGTGATCTTGAAATTTTAACCTAAGGCATGACACGACTCAAACTTTTGACCCACTATACTACCCATAAATGCATAAAAATCCCATGTGATTGTTTGGCAAAAATGAGTTATCTTTTGGAATCGATTAATAACTACCTGAATTTTAATATGTGCTGTTAATATTTGCTATTTTTACACATGAGACTCTTGTGCAGTAAAGGCAATTGCAGCTTCCTGATGGCATAACAAAAGTGAGAAACTTTGAAAATCATTTTCAAGAAAAACGAAATCATGCCCTGAAATAAAATTACCCCTTCACTATTGTAATTTTTTTATATGCGCTCCCAAATTTGATGCAAATGTTATACTGTATCATCCAAAAACACACGTTTGCCTATCATTCTTCAAAAACACCACCAATATTTGTGATTTTTGGGGTAAATTCTGGCTCTAAAAGACCTTTATAACAAATGCCAAAACAATGAGTTTAATTTTGCAGAGGCGTCGAAAACCTCAAAACGAACTTTTGCCGCGATCCTTACTCTAAACTGATTTGCTACCCTTGATTTGTATGTGGGCATAATCTAAACTACGTCTACGTCACTGTACACTAGACTGTTTCAGCGTTATATGGAAAATGTCAAGTTCTGGAATTTCAAACGCTACCCCCTGGAATGGTAGTTTGGGGGTTCAGGTCAGAAATACTCTGCCAAAATTTGAAGTTATTTTGTTCACGGGAACCTCTCGCTTAAAGGGTTTTATGTTGGTATGGGGAAAATTGACAAAATGTATGGGGGAATAAGCCACTTTCACATTCGCGGTTCTATGTGGCGCTGTTGTGGGTCGATTTTCTTCATGAACAAAATGTAGAACCTTTGGAGCCTATTGGGAACAACTTGGCTCAAGACCATATGTGAATCCGAGTTAACTCCGAGAAGTTATTTGAGTTTCGAATCAACACCACCTGCCTTACTATTGGTGAGGGCCCAACGCAGTTTTTATTTTTACAATCAGGCATACGAATAATAATGTTTGCATCGGTATAACTTTTTTGTTTCACAATGCAATTGGCTGAACTTTTCACAGTAAGTATTTTTTTTTTTTTGAAATTATGGTCTACTGAAAGTTGGAACAGATTGGCTAGGTGGTTCTGGTTTTATTCCGGGTTTCTGAGAGGCCATCGGGGGGATACCAGTCGCCTAGAACAAGGTGATGCTGAAAATCAACAACAACAGACATCTATGGGTATAGCCCAAAACGCAAACCGGTTGGACATGAGTGTTTCCGATTTGAATGAAACATTGCTCATATGTTTGCTGCTACCAATGGCTGCATTTTTCATTTTAATATGATTTTTTCTACTCAGTAACTTTTAATAAGAACTGATTATAAAAATTGATTATATTTTTTCAACAAATCATAACATTACAACTATTGATCTGATTAAAATGACATGAAGTAGGTAGTTGAATTACCATTAAGGAAAAAATACACTTAAATAAAAAAAACTTAGTAAATTAATATAAAAAAGCGTACACAATAAGATTATTTTACCGAAGTCTGTGAATTTTTACCGAAATCTCAACAGCTGAACGTTCGGTAAACAGTTCGGTGATTTTTCACAGTTTTCCTGTAATTTTTCAACGAATATCTGTGAAAAATCACCGAATCAAATGCCCTGAAACCGCACCGAATGCGACCTATGGATCTAAGATTGGGCCCATCGCTAAAAATCTGCAATTTATCAATTTTATCTAGATGAACGCGTCCCCCTTATAACTTTTTCCTAAGTCCAGTCGTTCTCAAGTTAATGCGAATTAATAATAATAGTAATAATAATTTTCAACATATTATACCATTTTCAAATGGTCCACCAACGAGATGTTTTTTTTTCCATGATTTTAAATAAAAAAACAAATAATTCATTCTCAGACATGGTAACTGTCATACTTACCCGTTTTTATTTAGATGCAGCGGAACCATTGATAGCAGCGAATATGTGAGCAATGTTTCATTCAAATCGGAAGGGTGACATGCTCTGCGTGTGGTCATCAGATGATCCGCCGAAAGATTTGGAACATCCGTAAAATTTATTTTTATATAAATATGATCAAAGCAGGCCTTAACTTTTTCTGCAACTATATGGAATGAAGAAAAATTGTGATTTTGGCTCCCAGTGGTCACCAGATGGTCCACCAGAAGATTCAGGTCTGTTCAATCCCAGCCGAGATCGTTCGGATTTTTCACAGACGAAACAATCTCTACCCACGTAAAGGAAGTAAATCAGTTGTTCCCGGGCCATATGTTGATGGGTTCAATAGGTTTCAGGTGTGGTAGTTGCCTCCCTGGCACTTGATTACCATCAATGATTATTTTTATTTAATTATTGTTTTTTTTTTCATTTATTTTTACCGAACTGGACTACCAAATATTCTTTCTGTTTTCGCGTCCAAAAACGATATTTTTGGTAATATGTTCAAATCTCCATACATATTTTTATTTTTAATTCCTTTTTGTCCATAGGAAGGTGGCACCATTCTGTCAGTAGTGGTGAGAATAAAACTGACAACTTACATTAATTCATTGACAATCGACAATCGTCGGTGTCTGGCACTCGATTGCGGTAAAGAGACCGACGATGAATAAAGAGAAAAAAACGAAATGACGTCTGAAACAAAGTCTTAAATACATACAAATGGCTAAGTGCATAAATGTGAAGTAAAAGAGGGCAAGTCACAACTTGTGCTTAATACGTCATCATAAAGAAACATTCTGGTGAAATGTCCAAACATACTTTTTAATTATATTCTATGGGCCACAATTTTAACAACTGTCATCAAGTTAAGTGTCTATGTAGATTGTTCTTATACAGACATGTAAATAGCTCAATATTTCAATAAAATTTAATAGCTTATCATTTGCGAAGCATCAGTTCCGTTTGACCCATAACACAATTTCATGTGGACACCTTATCCATGTGCTGGTGTAATATTGGACTAAAGTCAGAGTTTTATTGATACCTACACCTCACAAGACTAAAGCTCAATTACCAAACGTCCATCTTCTTCTTTGGCTCCCCCTGGAACTTTTCGTCAACTCTCAACTTAGTGTTCTTTGAGCACTTCCACAGTTTTTAATTGCAAACTTTCTAAGCCTGTACTAT